CGAGCAGCCACATGAGCTGGGTGAGGGGGTCCTCCGTGTTCCCCACGTTGCCCGTCAGCTCCTGGCTGCCGGCCTTGAGGGTCAAGCTGCACGACTCTGCAGTCAGCAGGGTGAGGGCTTGAACGACCTGCTCTCCCTGGCATTGGTCTTGCAGGTGTTCCAGCTGTCCAGGCGCCTGCTGCAGCGCGCCCTGCAGGTGGCGCCTCAGGGCCCTCCTCTCGGGCAGAACGTCGTGGTCCTCACCCCAGCAGCGGGGCGTGGCGGCAGCGCGGCAGTCCGAGCACCAGCCACGGGACGGCCTGTCGAGGAGCAGAGTGGTGACTCACTTCAGCCGGACAGAGATTGGCCCAGTCCTAGATAAGGTGCTTACCTGTCTGAACGCTCCATCACCTCTAGGAGTTGGAAGTTACTAGGTAGTTCATCCGGTGAGACTTCGAAGACCTGGAAATAAAAAATCAAAATCAAGAATCTATAGATTCAAGATATATGTTGATAGCAGATGATACGAACTTTGGAATATAAGTCTGTTTTCCTATTTTCCCTCATATTTAGCTGTCATTTGTTTATGGTTGCTTGTTACTTGCAATTTTGTGATTCGGCGTACAAGCGGCGTTGAGGAGGAGATAAGGGCTAAGGCGCGGGCAGAGCGGCCGGCGTCGGTGGCAGGGACAGGGGGACGGGGAGCCTAGTATTGTTAGGCAGGGTAAGGGTAGGGGCCTGAAGCGACACTCTGCCAGTCACTCACTCACTCCCCTAGCACCAAAAAATGGTTTTCTGGTCTGCGCTTGGTTCTCTGTCCTTACCGAGAGTAAAAGCTAGCTGACACCTTAAAGTTACTTATATATTCTTTGTTTAGTCATGTTTAAGGTATCATCTGCGTAAAACAGTTTTGGATACGAGCGATCCACCACACAGAAGACGTTTCGGTTTTAATTGCACATCGGGAGCGGACTCACCCTGCGGCACGTCGGGCACTCCCTCCTGTCGAGCCGCTGGAGGCACCGCAGACAAAATGTGTGCGCGCACGGCAAGTTCTTGGGCAGGCGCTCCACCTGGTTGAACTCCTCGTCGCAGATGTGGCACTCCATGGTGGCGCCGGAGCTGCTTGCTGGTCCCACCTGGCGGCCGAGTCGCACTGTGTCCGCCTGGCTGAGCGCGCTGACGCGTTTGATGATATCAGGCAACTGATAGTGACTGATAGCGATGCCCGAGATGTGGCGTACTCAAATGGACTTAAGCCCC